CCAACATGACATTCGCATAAATGACTTTTTCCTTTTGGGAGTTAATTTTTAGAATAATCCGTCTCTCTTGATTATCATTTGGGATATATGTTAAAAGACCACTATTATATTAATTAATACTTACCTTTGGGGACTTTCAGATTAATAGAGGAGGCAAAACAGGCAAATGTAGTTAATTTAAAAAAATCAAGAATCTCTGAGAGAAAAGTAAAAATGTGTATCAGTTTTTGTGATGGAAAATGGATGGCTTGACTTGAATAAATCTCCTGAACTGGGTGTTTATTTTATCTTAAGACAGTTCATCAAGAATATCCTTGGGGAGAATGCAATCCTAACATCAAGTTGCAGAATTTTAGCAACTACAGCACTTTCGGTTGCTTGAAGGAATGTAAAGCCCGGCACATAAAAAAGCAATGTGGATGTTTACCTTTCCTGCTTCCTGGTAAATAATGATAACTTTCTCCTTATTTAATTATATTTACTTAATTTGAAACATACAAAATGAACATATCATTAAATTGTTTTCCATTCTTATGAAATTCTATACTGGAAAATCATCCATTTGCCAAATACAACCTCAACAGACAAATTTTAAATCATGAAATCATAGCAGAGATTTCTGGGAAAAAAAAATTGTGTTATCAGGGTAGGTCCCCAATTCTTATTCCCAAAGACTGAAATTAGATGATTTCAAATGTCTAAAATGGCACATCAAGATTTTCTCAGTTTTTGAAAGAAAAATTAGATTATGTATATGTCTTACCTATCCTAGAAAAAAACCTGGAAAATGGTTTTCTTTGTGACTGTAAAAGAGACTTCAGGACTCCTTTGCATACAATTTAACACATTTCTAGAACCGTGAGTATGAGGCAAACATTCAAGGGTGAAATAGGGCAGCAGGGATACGAGCTGGATCTGCCCCAGGCTGCTCAGCGCAGCTCAGCTGCATAGTTCTCATAACCTCTCTCATCTGCTGGAAGAAGTAGGGGGGGCGGGTAGTGGGAGGAGAATAATATTCCTACCTTATAGGGTTGTTGTAAAGATAAAGGGGGTATGTGAGTGGTTTGAAAAGTGCATGGCACAGAATATAGAATATAGTCTGTATAAATGTTATTAGTGTGGAATCGGATAGGCTTTAGTTTTAGGTGCTAGATGTAGGTACAATTTGCATGTCCTCCATAATGGGAGGTTAGCAAGAACTTTCCTTAATGAATCATCTGTGGGGTCAGCTCTTCACAGATTCCTGAAGCTGTGATTTGATGTGCTTTTTACATCTTGTAACAACGCTACATACCTACCAAACTATTGCTCAGAGATTTCCAGAATCATCACTTCCTTCTTTTAGAATCCAGATTATTGATCTCTGGCCCCTTCAAAAACTGCCATTCTATAAAACATTCTGTAAAACTCTAGCTCTGATTTGTCATTTCCAATTACATTGGCAAAGTTACTGGAAACAAATCTGAACTTATTGATGCAGAATACTGTTTAAAATTTTAAAAATTATTATTTATTACAAAACACAAAATGAATAATTAATATGGACCAGAAACAAGGCAAGATGCTATATAAAACACAAAGCATGACATTTGCATGAACTTTAGGATATATCAAAAGTTTTCAGGAATATCATCTTATTTGGTTAGATACTCACATATCCCTCTAAGTGTATTTATATATGAGGAAACTGAGACTTATAAACATTAAATTAATTAGCTAAGTGTTAGGGGTGATCCTACTGCGTGGTGGGAAAGAATTCTTGACTCAAAGATAAAAACAGGCTTAAAACAAGGAGTTTGTTTTACTTTCCAAGGGAGGACAGGGCACAGCATGAATGGAAGAAGGAATGCCAGCCCTGAGAATGAGTGGCTTGGAATTTTATTGTGGTTATAGAGTAGAGTAGTTGTTGTTGTGAAATGATAATGCAAGGCGGCCATTTTCTGTTAAGCTGGTTTTATCTGGCTCACTGATCTGGTTTCTCAGAATTTGGTTTGGCAGGTGCTGAGGGGGCTACATGCTCTTTCATGCTTGTTCAGTACTTTTCCAGTTCTGCAAAACAAGCTCTTAAAAAAACAAGTTAACCACCAGGTGGTTGTGCAAAGAAGCAAACAATGGGGCCAGCACACTGTTGTGTGCAGCAATGTTTTTGTGTTAGATGATTTTCTAGCAATGCTGTCCTTTCACTAAGGTAATTCCACTAACGCTCTGTAGAAGCAATCTCTAAAATCAGCTTTTCCAATATGAGTTGTTTTCAAAATTTCATTGTTCTTTATAATGGAAGAAATATTATTGCCACAAGTAAGGCACAATTTGGAAAAATGAGGCTTTTTCCTAACTTAATTTTGAAGGTAGATTTTTTTTTTTATTTTTACTT